CAGTGCTAATAATTAAGAACAAAGCAAAAACCTACACAGGTGAGGGTCTCTATGTCAAAGGGACACAGGAGGCAAGAGCAACAGCTTCTAATGGCCAAAGCTGGACAAGTTGAACAAACTAGAGTTGTAGATTGTGTTAGGTGTGGCATACACCTGAAATCCCCGCTACTCAGGAAGCTGAGGTAGGAGGATTGAAAATTTGAGGCCATCCTGAGCAACTTAGTGAGACTTTCTCACAAAAAATGGGGGAGGGAGCTGGGAATGTAACTCAGTGGCAGAATAGCTGCCTAGCTCCAGGCCCTGAGTGGGATCCCCCACACTGGCAAATAAAGAATAAAAATACAGGGCTGGGGTGGTGGCTCAGCGGTAGAGCACTCACTTGGCACATGAATGGCACTGGGTTTGATCCTCAGCACCACATAAAATTAAATAAACAAAATAAAGGTATACTGTCCAACTACAACTAAGAATAAATTTTTCTTTAAAAGTCATAGTGTGATATATTCACAGTAGAATCTTTGTTCCAGGTTTTGTTTACAAGGCATTCCCCTTGAGAGAAACAAAACCCTGCCTGCTTTGTCCCACCTGTTGCCCTCATAAACATGGAAGCAGTTTTATATTATATTATCTCCCAGTTCATATCACCAGGTCAGCTGTAGGCCTGTCCAACCTTCCAGGCTTCAATCTAAACGTGCCCCAAACAGTTCCATAACTGAGTCATGTTTAGCTCTCCATTGTCCATAGAAGTGTGGGCTAAAGATTTTATTTTGGTCAAATGTATCAGAAGGAACACCATCTCATACCCAGGAAGATGGCTACTGCTGGGCATGCTCTTGAAGGCCTCTGATCCAGGCTCCCTGGGAGGTTGAGGAAGGAGCATGACAAGTTCAAGGATGATCTGGGGAACTTAGACTCTGACTCAAAAAAAAAAATTTTTTTTTTAAAGGAGAGGGTCTGGACAAGTAGTTCAGGGGTAGACATCAGGGTTGGGTAAGATGGCTACTATAAACAAATAAATAAAAAGTCACCAGTGGCTGAAAAGACATGGAGACATTGGAAGGCTCCTCCACTACTGATGGGAACATAAAATGTTGCAGACACTGGACAAAACAGTATGGTGACTCCTCACAAATTAACAATAGAACTCCCAGAGGATCTAGCAATTCCACGTCTGGAATTGAAAGTCAAAAGATACCAAAAGAATGGAAAGCAGGTTCTCAAAGAGACATGTGTACACTCATGTTCACAGTCGCACTGTTCAGAGTCACTGAAATTGGAAAGCAACCTGCAATAGACAGGAGAATGAGCAGAACACGGTATAGACATACAATGGAGCAATATTTTTAAAAAATGTTTTAGTTGTAGATGAACATAATGCCTTTATTTTATTTTCATGTGGTGCTGAGGATCGAACCCAGTGCCTCATGCATACTAGGCAAGCCCTCTGCTGCTGAGCTCCTAACCCAGCCCCTCAATGGAGTATTATTCCATCTTAAAAAGGAAGGACATTCTGACACATGCCACAGCATGGAAGAACCTTGAGGACATGGTGCTAAACAAAATAAGCCTGTAAGGAAAAGAATATCACACCGGTGATTCCACTCACCTGAGTGTCCGTAAGGTAACCAAATTCACAGAGACAGAATGCAGAGTGTGGTGGGCCAGGTATGAAGGAAGGGGAAAGATGGGTTAGTGTTTACTGAGGATGATGTGTCAATTTGGTACGATGGAAAGTGTTCTGTGGATGGATGGTGATGATGGCTGCAAAACAATGTGAATGTACTCAGTGCAACTGATCTACACTCTGAAAAATGGCTAAGATGGCCAGGCATGGGAGCACATGCTGTAATCCCAGTGACTGGAAAGGCAGAGGCAGAATTGCAAGTTCCAGGGCATCCTGGGAAATTTAGCAAGAACTTATGGTTCAGATATTGGGGTGTCACCCAAAAGCTCAATGTGAGACAATGCCAGAAAGTTTAGAGGTGAWATGATTAGGGATTAAGAATTTTAACCTAATCAGTGCATGAATGCCCTGATAGAATAAACTGGTTGGAAGGAACCTATAGGTAGGTAGGATGTGGCTGAAAGAGGAGGGTCTTTGGGGGATGTGCTTTTGGGGTATACATGTTGTCCATGTTCAGCAAAAGTCTCTCTCTGCTTCCTGATATCATGTCCTGAGCTCCTTTAATCTAGCACAGCCTTCCACCATGAGGTTCTGACTCACCTTGGACCCAGAACAATGGAGTCTGCCATCTAGGGACTGAGATCTCTGAAACCTTGAGCCCCAGATAAACTTCTCCACCTCTAATTGTTCTTGTCGTGTCTTTTGGT